GTTAAATAACAGACAGTAAATACACAGTTTACTCAAAGCATGTGTGAAGGCATTCAACCACAGATAGGTCTTTCCCAGTACATTTCCTAAAACTGGCACAATAATCCTAAAGCAGGATGATCCCCAAACTGAATGTAAATGTCCCATTACGGCGACTGCTGCTCTCAGTCCAGTCACAATGTGCTGTTTTTATTCTATTGTGATTCACTAATTTTCTCTTGAATACAATTCTATACTTGAACATGTTATTGGTCAGCCTCAGCAGTGCTCTGAGTGAGTGACAGGAGGATTTAACCAATCCTAAAATATTCATTTTGTGTATATATATATATATATATATATATTATATATATATATATATTTATTTATTTTATTTTTTTCAGATGACTTAGTTATCTGTTAGACTTAGTTTATCTCTTCAAAAAAACAAAAACAAAAAAACATACATTTACATAAATGATGATGATAATAATTGTGATCTGGCTTCAAGGGAATGGTGATGTAAATGTTTTGGCATGCAGCATGAAAAACTGGTTGTTAGGTTGTATTTGTATCTGTATTTATAAGTAATTAGTTGTTTATTCATGTCACTACAGTTCAGATGTTACTGTAGTACAGAAAAGTAAAGCTAAAGGTTTACCAATGGTACAAAGAAAAAGTCCCCCCTTATTTATCCCCCAAAATGATGGTTCAGTCTATCATGTGCTGAACGTGAAGTCGGTGTAGTAATTATCAGAACAGGTCTGACCACAACACTGAAATGGTTACAGTGAGGATTAAATAACAGGACAGTAAATGCAGTTTACTTATAGCACACGGTTGAGGACAGCTGCTTAAGCCATGAGAGACTCTTTATGGACACCAGATCATATGTGGCCTGCTCCACTTAGCTCCTTAAAAGTCTGCACTGCTCCAGCAAAGTTCATTTTGTTTATTCTAGACCTGATCGGGACTGTAGGTTTTATTTGGAGCTGCACGACATGAAGAAAAAAAATCTACTGTATATATTTCTATCAAATATTTTGACCAGTTCTCAATCCAATTTAAATTTGTCACATTAAAATAAACATATGGCTAAACATAAACAAGACTGTTAATCTGTCTGCAGTTTAAACAAAACAAGTCTCTAGCTCCAAACCAGTCTTTTCCTGGCAGAGGATTGGCTGTAGACCTCCCCACTAAAACTCCTTGACCATTAGACAGAACTGGATGACTCCAGACTAGAAAAGGAGTAAATGCACAGTGTTTTTTGTGTTGTTAGTTCTGGTTTAGGTTCTGAAATGAATTCTTTCTTGCACATAAAAAAAAAAAAAACATATTAAAGTGTAACTTTTCTGATGGAGGATCCTCCAGATGTTTTGATGTTGTTGATTAAAATCATACTCCATTTTCATTCAAAATGTGAAAAACGGAACAAATTAATTTTAAACTGTTGGTATAAAGGTGAACTAGTGGTCCAAGTTATTGCTCTAGTCTGTGTTTTTCACAACTTTGAGACTGGAGAGGAGTTTTGCTATGGCAGTAAAGCTAACAGCAACTTACATGCTAACGTGTACTTCCTGATTATAAGACAATAAAATACTTTCTAAGTGGGTACAGCAGCAGTAGACTTGTTTTGACCTCAAGAGCTGCTTACATTATATCTATTACTGGGGCAAGACACATTTTGCTCATGTACATGAGGGCAATGGTGTAGAGGGTAGGCTGGTGTTGTCACACTATGTCAGCACCAAGGAACAGACTCAATACCAATTCCAATGCTCCCTCATTGTAATCCCTCAGTCGAGGGAGTCCAGGTTGCTCAAATGAGTATCTAGTTTCTATACTAGTTTTAATGTCGATTAGTATCTGATTTCTCTGATTTCTGATACTTTTGCCAACCCACTGGCCCTTTTAGAGGAGACATGAACATTGTTATTCAACAGGTCACATACTTAAGTGGTAATAACATGGAGCACTAATGCTACAGTCACCATCACATCATTACATCACCACTATAGGCTCTTTACATAAAGCACTGCTGCTCTGGTTCATTATGCACAACACCACTTGTACATTTAGATCCATTTAATGACATGAGACGTTCAGCACTTGGCTTAAACTTAAATGCTGTTAGCTTTGAAATTACTGCTGCATAAGCTTCATCATAAGTTAATTTGTAATAGCAATGTCTAGGAGTGTGTATTTAAAGGACCTGTATTACAATATTTTCTAATTTGTTATGTTTCCTTACCACAAACATACCTGTTTTTTTGTTTTGTTCCATTCACACATGTTTAACACACAAAGGCCTATCTGCTTAAATGTGCATGGTCTGCTGATACTTGATAAGAACTCCTAAGAACAAGAAGTATTGTGTGGCAGAATGTTCTTATGTTGCTGTTATTTATCTCTCAAGTAATGACAGAACAACTTTGTATCAAAAGCTCAATCATTATGAGGCTAGACTGGACCGACTACAACCAGTAAACACACATCAATCTATATGTCCATCCAGGATAACACAAGGACCGATATTTTAGGACCAATATCCAAACTAGTAAATTGGATTAAAAAAACAGTGTCACTTTTGGTGTGTGCCTTATTATAATATTGCTAAAAGCTCTCAGGAGTCCCTTTTGAGGAATATAAGACCTTTTAATCAAATTTTGACTGGAGTTTTCTTAGTGTAACAAAATGCAATGCACTTTTTTTTTTTTTTTTTTTTTACTGATTACAGGCCAGTTACAGTCAGTTGTATATGCTCATGACAATACTACAATCATTTAGTATAACTGTTGTTACCAATAGGTGTTCAGCTGGTCTTTTCCGTTTAATGCCGTTCTGTTATGTCTTCAGTTCTTCTTCATTCTATTTGTGGCTTGGCTTCAGTGGGAGGTTTGAAAAGTGACTCACACCTCCTCCACCTGTGAGGCTGTGATGTAGAGACGGGGACAGTAACATATTACCTCCTCCAACAGGTAGAGAGCGGGCTTTCTATCTTTAATAGCCTTTCCCTGCTAAGGGATGACGTCAAATGAAAACAAATTAAGCAATGCAGTCTAAACCATGTACCCCCCTCTGTTCTGCACAGAGCTCTCTGAAAGCGACGAGACGGGACATCGTGATTTGAATCTGATTGTCACCACAGCAGAACAAGCCGAGAAATGTAACTTTAGTGAAAACTGTGCGAAGGGAATTACTTTGTTTTGGATTTAACAAACTGTCTGTATATCTACTAGGGATGGGCATTCGATGAAATTTTCTTAATCGATCGTCGGAAGAATTAACGATCGATTATCGATTAATCATTAACGTTTTTATATTAAAATGATCATCATTATTATTACTATCTGCACTACTAATCTGCATAAATAAATTCAACTTTACGACATATAAACCGTAACGACTCTAGAGCCACATCAATCCGTTTAACATTATTAATTATTAATGTGTTTAATTAATTTTTGCGCAACTCTCACAGAAACAAAACTTAAAACCGCATCGCTAATTTGCATAAACTAAGCGAAGATAAAACTACAGCTCTTGTGTCGCTGATGCGGTCAATTTCTGTCGGATTAAAAGACATGATTCAGTGGAATACAGGTTAGTGTGACCATATTTGCGTTTGTCAAAACCAGGACACCGTACGGGGGGTGGGAGGTGGGGACTCGTCATCGACATTGCGCGACTCTCACCTGGTAAAAACTTTTTCCCACTGGACACCGAAACATATGTTCCTGCTTTGTACACTGTGCACATGGACTCACACTTGTCCCGAACGCAACGGAAAGCGTGGACTTTCTTGTAGAAGTCATTGTTAAATACACATTTGTGCTTCGGTACGCTGCAGACTGACCAGATGTTTGTGTTTGCTCGCTCCTTCAGAGTGCAGAGAGACACATGCAACCTACATTCGGTTTGTCGATTAAAATTAACGTAATCGACGAAATTCTTAATGATCAATTATCGATTAATCGATTAATCATGCCCATCCCTAATATCTACATCTGCTAAAATTGGCTGATTTACGTGATGTTCGTTTGAGCACTTCACCTTTGACTGCCTCATAAATATTGTGAGAATTGTTTGTGCGATGTAACGTTTTACTTAAATGTGACCTTGGGGCTTATTTTAACAATTGATCAAACCAAGGGCTGCAGAGAACGTTCATGTTTTTAAGAGCAGGCTCTAGACCACCTTTTTAGCTTAGCTTTTGATTGAAATCTTATACTTTTACTTGTTTCTATTGTATTCATTTTATTATGTTTATTTATTTTAGACATATTTTTTTTAGGATTTCCAGTGTTTCCTCTGTAGGAGCCTCTGCATCAGGAGCGGAGGTCGGCTGTGGCTGTCGGGGTCTGTCCCGTGGGCTCTTGGTGTGGAGGGTTGGTGCTTGGGCCTCAGGTGTCTGGGCTTTGTCTCTCCCCTGGGCCCTGTGGTGGTTCCTGGTGGAGGTGGACGTTTCTCTGCTCCTGATGTAGATGTCTCCTCTGATGCTGCTTTCTCATCTGGTTCGCCTGTATTCAGCCTCACATTTTACTATGTGCGGTTTTATGTATTTTAGCATGTTAGTGTGTGTGTGCGTGTGTGTGTGCATGTTTGTGCTTATGGGAGTGTGTGTGTGTTTGGGTTGTCTGCTTGTGTGGGGTTGGGGGTATGGTGGTTGGGTAAGTGGGTGGGTGGATGGAAATGTGGGATTGTTTTTAATCACTGTAAAGCACTTTGTGTTACATTTTTATATGAAAAGCGCTTTATAAATAAAGTTTGATTGATTGATTGACCTGATGCGCACCAATAATGCAAATTTACCTGGATGATCGGAAGAATATCTCACAAATGGCTGCCCTTCCCTGATCTAGCTGGTTAACCTTGTAATGCACCATGAGCCCGGTTCAAATATGGTTCTGGTATAAAACTTTTGAGAAATACCACTTGAGATATCTGTGCTGGATGTAGGTTTTTTCATTTCACGGTTTGGTTAAAGATCTGTGCTTGTTTTTCTGTGTGTTCCTCAGACCAGAGCCTCCCGGGCGCGGTGGTGGTGGTGGTGGAGGAGGAGGAGGTGGTGGGTCTCATGGACAAGCCGACTCTCCTCTGCCCGAACAGGACGAGGAAATCCTGGGATCAGACGATGAGGAGCAGGAGGACCCAAATGACTACTGCAGAGGTAATCTCCAACTAATGATGATGCAGTTGTCTGAGTTCTGTTCATCCACTCCCCACACTAGATATTACAGGAGCACAGCTGCCCTGGGACTGATTGACACGCTTTTGGCTGCATCTGCCACAATGGCCTCTCCAACCACCACAAAACACAAACTCATTGCAAATTAGCTTTACCAGAAAAACACATACTATTTTTTTATCCAGTCAGAACCGTGTACTTTGACAAAACGCCAAAGACGTGCAGATCTGGAGCCATATCCTGCCGCTCTGAGCGTAATTGACAGGTAGATTATCCAATCAAAGAAGCATAGGAGAAGATAAGGGGAAAAAAATAATACAAAGGACTGAGAAACGGCAAATTTCTGCAGACTCAACAATCTCAGCACCAAACTTTTATTTATTTTGAGTAAAAGAAGCTAAATATTTTCTTTTGAATGATACGAGAACAGAGTGTGGTTGTACAGAGGTTTTTCACGCTCTGGTCCAATTCCAGGCCCTTCTGGATTCAAACAAAATGTAGTTGGGCTTTTGATGCTTAGGAGATGACAATAGAGAATGAGAGATTTGTCTAAACTGAAACCAGCACTTGATTTTCCCTTTTAATAATTGTGTTTTGTTTTCTGAACAGGTGGATATCACAATGTGAAGATCGGGGACCTGTACAATCAGAAGTACCATGTGATTCGAAAACTGGGATGGGGCCATTTCTCTACTGTGTGGTTGGCCTGGGACATCCAGTGAGTAACACCTTTTCATCCAAACTATTATATTGACAGAGGGGGTATTACACTTCTGTGGGGTACTAACTACTTGCACATCACATCAGATTTGTGGAGCTGAGCCTTGCACAGAATCTTACAGCTAACATAAGGTTTCGAATAGAGCTTGGGAGAGATCGCTAAAATACTCAAACATGTATGGATGACGTCAAGAGTTTTTTTTGTTTTTTTTTTTCCAGGCGTGTATTTGATGAGGGAACGACGATAGAAAGTAGAAAGTTCCAACAAGTCAATTTTGCATAATACCCCCTCTTTAAAGAATATTACACTTTGCCCATTAAAAAAATAAAAAATCTATATTTTTGCCATTTTATTTGTTTTTAGGGAGAAACGTTTTGTGGCAATGAAGGTGGTGAAAAGTGCAGAGCATTACACTGAAACGGCCATGGACGAAATCAAGCTGCTAAAAATGGTAAACCACAAATGTTATTATCGTTATGTATCATTTCCCCCCAAAATTGCTCTTCTAAAACTTAAAACTCTTCAAACTTGTCTTCTCTAATAGTTTTACTGATATTTTTTTATTTTATTTTTAGGTGAGAAACACAGATCCCAATGACCCAAACAGAGAGAGGGTGGTCCAGCTTCTTGACGACTTCAAGATTTCTGGTGTAAATGGAACACGTATCCTTTACATGTTTTGTCTTTACTTTATGGCCATTTATTCAGACTTTTTTCATGATAATATCACAAAATGCTACCTGTCTCCTTTTACTTTTCCTACTTATTTTTTACTTCACCTCTACATAAAATCCACCACTTTGGGAATGTTGTAAGTTAAAATTAAACCAGCGAGTGGTGATATCACATTTTTATTAAAATGAGTTATTAAAATGTCATGTTTAACAGCACAGTGATTTTTCTGATGATGGTCGGTTTGCACATTATTTAAGGAGTTTATGGAGTTGGTTCATGGAGTTTAAAAACACATTAGAGCACTTGTATTACCACATGACATCACAAGGTGGAACAGAGTGTTTTCAGTTTGAGAGCAAAACTCTGTCTAAATATGCCTGGTTTGTGTGTTGAAACAAAACTCTACTCGAGGTCTGTTTGTGAAGAGAAAACAACTTTATGATATGGGCCCTTAAGGTTCAGAAATCAGGTAATAATAAGATTTGGGTCTGCGTGTAAACATAACTATTGAAATAAACATATCTGATTGCTGTTTTTGAATCTGGCTCACAGTGTGTCTGAGGGAGTGACAGTGTGACTGAGGGAGTGGTGACCAGACTGTAAATAAATGCGATATCATGGACGTGCCAGGGCGGAGCTATATACTGATGTACTTTTTTATTTTCAAGTTGTCCTCCTTGACTTGTGTCCCTTCAGATGTGTGCATGGTGTTTGAAGTATTGGGCTACCACTTACTCAAATGGATCATCAAATCCAACTACCAGGGCCTCCCCCTGCCCTGTGTAAAGAGCATCATCAAACAGGTCACATTAAGTCTACTGTCTGTCTGACCCCCTCCTCTGCTCCTCTGCTCCATCTGACCCATCTGACCCTCTGCTCCATCTGATCGTCTCCTCTGCTTAGTCCTGATTCCTCTGTTCTTGTGCAGGTGTTGCAGGGCTTGGACTACCTCCACACCAAATGTAAGATCATCCACACAGACATAAAGCCGGAGAACATTCTGCTGACAGTGAATGAGGCGTACATTAGAAAGATGGCAGCCGAAGCGACGCAGTGGCAAAAGGCGGGTGCAGCTCCTCCCTCGGGATCTGCAGGTAACAGCCTCTTTTATTAACCTAGTGATCTCTCCCGGGCCCTATCCTAACCTTCTTCACATTAGCAGTATGATTCTATGCACTGCTCCACCCACAAGCCTATGTCACTCATGCTCCCACATGACAATTTCCATAAATATCCAAAAAACATGATTCTAAACTATGCGCATCATCTTAACAAACCTGATGCCACGTGCAGAGGTTTTGTAAGCAGGATTCAAGTTGATTGTGCTGTGATAGTGCTCTGAATAACATTTATATATAACAAATACTTATACAAAGAACTTATTAAATAGATTATTAAATGCTAATTGCCCATAGAAGTTTAATACCCCCTCTTTAATAGATTTTTTTGATAAACTAATACAAATGATTTTCAGTATTAATTCCAAGAACACATACAAAAATGCTGTTAGTGACCAGTAAGCGGATGCGGTTTGGAGCAATTTGAAATGACTGGATCTCAAATTAAAATTTGGTTAAATACTTGATTCTTCTAGGCACTAGAAATTTACTTAATATTTGGAAAGTGTTGCCCAAACTCATTTTTGTAAGCAAGTTCTAAAATGTGAAAGAACAACACCAAGAGATGTCAATGTATTTCATTTACTGAAGTATGCATAACCATAAATGTCCATTGTGAGGAGCTTAAACCACTGCTTTCTGTAGAATCCTCATTGCATTAGTGGCTCTGTGGAGATCTGCCAAAACAAAACAAAAAAACGGACTGACTAAAATGCTTAGTTTTAAGTTATTCAGGGTTTGTGCCAAATATATTATAAATATAAATATGTCTCTCATGGGATTTAGTCCTTAAAAATAATCTAAAATGTTTAAAGGTGTATTATGTGACTTCTGATGAGAGGTTTGCCATCTGCTTGTCTCTATGGAGATGTTTTCTTGATTGCTTTGCCTCATATGTTCCAAAGTATAGATTTATACACATCATATTAAACATATATTGCATGTATTCAGTTACAGGAACATGTAAAAATGAATCAGTAGCTAACATTGACAGGGCAGCCACAAGGTATTAAATGATCTTAAATTTCATGTTCCTAAATTAAGACCTTAAAAAGTCTTAAATTATGTTGTCCAAGTCTTATTTTTTTCACCAAGGACTTTATAAATATTTTTAAATTTCATTAGCCTATTTTTTGTATACTCAAACCAGGCTGCAGAGCAATGTTAAACGGATGGAAAAAACAACAACAACATGAAATCACATAATGTGAATGAATGTCTAATTTGGAGTATGCGCAAACAATACTTTGGTTTTTGGCGCCAGCAGCAAAGAGTAAACAATCAGTTCCGTCTACACTGCCCAAGATGCAAAACACTCATCAGATCTGCTCACGTCGCATACATGTTTACGTCACATACTTGTTTATGTCACATACATCACCACCTAGCATCACCACCGAGCTGCCTGGGATGTATACCCAATTCCACACACTTTTGCGTCACCGTATGCACACAGATTTCCTCTCAAACACACTCATCTAAACACAAAATAAAAAGTGAAGACGCTGCGCTACTTTTGTGTCTTCTGTTCAGACCATCATCATCTAAACATAGACTAAGATTCTAGATATAGTACTGTAGTTGGTTGGTCATTATTCGAATTGGATCTGGTGTTTTTCGCCTGCATAATGGGTGCTGTGACGGAGTCGCTCCGTCCGAGCGCGTGCTTACTTAAGCACGCCCGAACAAGCCCGCGCTAACTACCCACCTGTTTTCATTCATTCCGCACCGTACCCGCTCTGTTGCTCACTCCCCGTCTGTCCACTCCGGTCCCCGCTACACATTTTCCGTCCGCTCACCACCGCCGTAGCCTTGGGTGCACACAAGTCCGCTGCCAAATCCTTCACCTCCATAACTTCGTCTTCCATCTACCTATCCGCATTATCCATCCCCTGTCCTCACGCCCCACTGGCAAACAGAGCACTGATCTGACACTTCCTTTTTCCGGTTTCGTGCGCGGGACCTTCGCATGTGACGTCACTGCGACGTCATCACCAAAAAAAAACACAGTTAATAATAAAATATTAATTTCTCATTTCCTATTGCTGCTACAGGCGCAGAGAGATGGCCATATAATTTACTATATTTTTCTGGGTTTTTCCTTATTTTGTTGTTATCAGTAATTTGGGTTTTAAGGGTGAAAACCCACATTTCTTTGTTAATTGGCTTGGGGGAGGAGTCATGGGGGATAAAAGAGGGCCACTCTCCCTCCCTCAGTCAGTTCCAACCTGGACCTGGAAGAGGAAGGTAAATATACCAGAGATTTAAGCAGACTTTTGCTGGTGTGTGTGTAAATATTGTAAATACTTTTTCTTTATTGTTTCACTTTTTGTTGTATAGCACTCTTCAAACTTTCTTTATTTGGGAACTTTAACACCTATTAAACACTCCAAAAAAACATCCTTCTGACTACGCCATCGTTACTACAGCAAGATAGAACCCCGTCACAGTGCGCCGTTGGTCTTAATTTTCATTTACATGGTCTTAAAAAGGTCTTAAATTTGGGGTAGTCAAACCCGGGGATACACTGATTTAATAGGCCAAGTGCAAGATAGCAAAGTTGAATGCTTTGCTGTGGAACCTTCGAGACAAAGAAATCTTCATGGAGACATGCTATAGAACAACCACCAGAAAAGTTTCATAGTACCTTTAATACATAACATAACTCCATTCAAAAATTGTACATTACCTGTTTTGTAAAGGGAAAGCTCTGCATCTCTTCAGTAACTCTCCTGCCGGTGCTGATGAGTCATCAGTAAATTTTGTAAATAATTCTTTTGCCTCTGTGTTGGTGTCTGCTGCAGAGGAAACCTGTGATTAGTTCAGCTCTGGGTGACTCACTGACTCTCTGCTAATATTAGACCAGGACAAAAACTATAAAATGGTTAATAGGAGGGCTGCAAGATTAATCAAAATCCAATCGAAAATGCAGTTTGAATAGATGCAATTGGCAAATCACAAAAGCTGCAATTTTTTTATTTCCTCCAAAAACAACAAAATCTCCTGATTTATTCTGCGTAAAAACAGCCAACACTGTAGTTTAGCTCTGTACAAACATGTTCTGAAATGTGATTCTTGTATTAGTTTGTCAGTTCAGATTTCAGTCCATTTGTCAGTTGTCATGGACTCGTTTAATATGTGAACAGAATTTAATCATACACTCAGACTCATTTGATATTTTGTTGTTTTATGTCTTACAGTGAGTACAGCCCCTGCCCCCAAAGCAGTAAGTACATACAAGTATATTTGATCTATAATGCAAAGTACTTTTTAGAATGAAAGGAAAATGGAAGTAATAGCAGTAGTTACATACTTTCTTGGTTCATTGTTCATTGTCTGATATGTGAAAGGAACTGTATGTATCCAGCACTCTTGCAGTTTTAAAGACATACTAACCTGTGTCTCCAGAGTCTTCACCTGCAGACAGACTCATCCAAGTGTTTCATTCTCAGTTTATGAACAGACCAGGCCTCATGTGAAAGCTCAGAACCTCCAGAATTCTCTCCCTGAGCTGCAGAGGCTGCACTAGGACTAACTCATGACTGTTGCAGGTGCCTGGGGTTTAGGTAGAGACCATTCACATCAGAGAGAGATATTTTAGGTTTAGACCAACTGAATTTGGGCTTGGAACCTGGCAACACAGATGAGAGACTCGTGAGGCTCTTTCTGCTTTCTGATTGGATAATTGCCTTGAACCAACACACCAAATTATAACATAAATGGTATGGCCATCGTGTCCCATGTTTTTGTAATTAAGAATAAATCAGCATTAGGGATGTAACAATATCCAAGATCTGAATCTCACAGTACAATATTATCAACGATGTGCATCTCACTGTATGATATATGTTACAGTATTTTGGAGAGGCTAATAGAATTGTAGATAAGATACTTTTTGCTTCTAAATTACCTTGACAACACTCATTACTATTATAATCTGAAGAATTAATGTAAAAAACACATTTCTTAATGTTGTCTGCATTGAAATGTATCATGGTGTATAAAATCCCCTATGTTTATTAGCTGTTGCTACTATAAAACAGTAAGTAAGTAGGTCTTTATTTATTATAGCGCTTTTCACAAACACATGTCACAAAGATGCTTTACAGAGCATTTTTAGATTCATTATTCTTTTTCTCCACATCTGGTGATGGTAAGGTACTACTGTATATATATAATTGTATATTGTATTGTATATAATTGTTATTGGTAAAAGCTACATTTCATTTAGACTTGCCTATCTCGTATCAGGAGACACAGTTTGGTCATGTTTGTTTAATTTCTAAATCTTGCAAACAGTTCCTTTTAAAGTCCAACGCCATAACTAATATAACTATCATCATAACAGTAATCAATCACAATAATCATCATAACATAATCAAATAAAACTAAAAAAAAAAAAAAATAAAAAAAGAGAGTGTATTTTGTTTATATTTTGACTATTTTTTGTTGCACCCTTACTGTGCGCCGGCTTGTTTCACCACAAACCTGACTTATTTGGCCTCCCGCTTGTTTCCATGGAAATGTTGTTCACTTGGCTATCCATAGTATGACATTAACTTATCTCCATGAAGAATGTTCCAGAGTATTATTTTCTATCCAAGGAATCATGCAGAAGACGTTCCACCTGTTCATCAGCGTCTAAAGTCAGCATGTCCACTGTTTTTAGCAGATGGCCAAAATGTCAAAGAACAAGAAAAAGAAGATGAAGAAGAAACAGAAGAAGCAGGCGGAGCAGCAGCGACTCCAGGAGGGCGGGGCCACAGCAGAGGATGGAGAGGCAGAGGAGGGAACAGTTGCAAAGGGAACAGCCACAGAGGGAACAGCCACAGAGGGAACAGCCACAGTGGAGCCAGCGGAGGAGGCAGAGGAGGAGGAGGAAGAGACCACAGAGACTACAGAGACCACAGAGACTACAGAGACTACAGAGGACACAAACTCATCTGTGACTATGGCCTCTTCATCCACTCTCCAGGACCTCAGCAGCAACATCACAGGTGAGACGAGCTAATGGATCAATGAGAATAGTCGAGGCTAATCTACTGTAGCTCTGGTCTTGTAGGCCTGTCATGATTTAAAAAAATAAAAATAAAATAAAAAATGATAACATTGAACGTACTTATGCTACATCAACTTTTTTGATTGATCTGCTTTGTATTTATCCCCTCATCAAAGTTGAGGCTTGTTACATTTTAGCTGAGATCTGCAAAACCAGATTTCAAAGCAGTATTCTAAACCAACTGTTTTGATTGGCCAGTTCTCTGCATGTACTTTTCTCACTTTACTCTTGATAATTATTTTAGCTTCAGGTTAAGTATGCCACACACTACAGAAGAATTTGCCTGATTTAGGCTGCGATTTGCTTCTCCCCAAGATCGGGGGCGGCGTGACCCCACTTTCTGTCTTTGTGTGCGATTTTGAAGCCGCTGCACTCCTCATGTGTGATGTCAGTGTGACTCTGAGCTGCTCTGTCAGGTCATAACCACTAAACATCAGCAATACTACGGCAACATCCAATAAAACAGAGCATCAGGAGCAAAAGAGGGATGCAACATACAAACTCATATATTAGTATAACGAAAACAATTATTACTCACCTCTTGGTCAAGTTTAAACTGCAGTATTTTCTTTCATATTATTCGTAGAATTTGTCCTCCATAAATAATGACCCCAGTCCACAAAACGGCGCTCTTAATAAAATTTGAAGGTTTCTTTAAAAGTAAAAAGGCCAGAGTAGTTCCTCACGTGTTTCTGTTTACATCCAGAGCCCAGATCGAGGTGAAACTGCAGATTAGTGATAGTGACTCTACTTCCACAGGACTTTATCACCAATCTTTTATTCTTTAAAAATCATGTATCTGAAGTTTTGCACCACATTTCACAAAGAATAATAACACAGTTTGCAACAGTTAGTTACATCTAAATTAGAAGTGCAGAGCTCTGATCTTTGAACACTGAAGAGTCTCAGAGCGACTGGTTTTACTGTAGACAGGAAACAGTTGACAAAGTTGCACTCACAACTTATATATATCCGGTGGTCGCAGACAGATCCCACTGCAGTCTTTGAGATCAGAGATTTAAAATATCATAAGATTCTCCTCGTGTCTGTAGTGTGTGCTTTTTGTTGCACGTTTAAAAAAATTTTAAGACCAAAAAGTCCCGTAGTTCATGGCTTTAGACTATTCTTTTCACTAAGATCCCTAAGATCTTAAATATAAGTGTTTATCTTCTACGGAAACTGTCATGAATTGTCACTGCATTTTGGATGGAATTTTCAGTGTTGACATAGTTGCTGTAATTTTATACTTTTCATTTTTTTCTCAAATTGATGTGAAACTATGATAAATATATACCACAGACACTATTCCACCAAAACATCTAAAAGGCGACCTGGTGATCTAAATATGTTGTTAGTAGTTAAAAGCCTGTAGAAATCAAATTCTCCCTCTTTAAGTTTAATGCTTTAAATGCGAGCATTATTGATTGCTTATTATAAAGCTGTCAAAAATCCACTTAAATCTTGTATTTGTGTTTATTTATTTTTTTTAGATCCCAACTCAGAGGAGCAGCAGTGTACACCTTCACCAGACATGCCTCAAGATGAAACATCTCACAAAGAAACATCCCAAGAAGAACTCAAGATGGAGGTCAACTGTAACGGACGCATTTCCACGACTCCAGACACCGAAACAATACAAGACCAAACAGAGGACGAGCAGAACGCTAACCAGGCCGACGCCAGCTCAGAAAACAACAACACGATAGCTAACGAAAGTGTGCAGATGTGTAATGGGACTGAAGGGGGAGAGGAGCAGCAGACCACAGCCGACTGTGAGCCAGAGGCGGGAAGAGACGACGAGACAACGACAGAGGAGAAGAAAGAGGAGGAGATGGAAACCCAAGGAGAGGCCAAGACCAAGGAGGAGGAGCAGGAAGCAGATAATGGTAGGTTTAGTATTATAAGCTGTACTGTTTATGGACACATTTTACTTTTAAAGGACCTGTACCTGACTGTTTTCAAGTATTTGAGCAAAGTTTGCACCAGTACAGATATAGAGGAGAAGCAGTTCTTTGTTCTTAGTTTTATATTGACTTTTTGAATTATCGCAAAACACTTTAGCATCAGAAAGTTGTGAGAAGCGCTTCTAAACTCATTTTGATGAATAATTAGGATGCTCAGAATGCATAAGGTGAAGTAAGGAAGAACACAGGACCACTGCAAACTGTTTACAATGAACTAGTTCTATTTTCATATTTTTAGATGGTAAAAATTAGGTACAGCTTTGAATGGACTGGCCCCAAAGTACATCCTGTTTTAGTCCTGGTTTAGCTCCTCATCAGCTGCTTCTGTGGTGATGAACTGACCCACCGATGCCTCATGGGGACCAGGTTGCTCTCTCTGATTGCTCTTGTTTTTGGTTTTATTTTGAAAAACGAATGAATGATACACCTGTTCATCCAAATTTACGACCCCGCGCACACTCTAAGGTTGGAGGTCCAGCTCCAGCTCGTGGGGCCTAAGACAAGATGTAAAACCAGGTAAAACCAGGACACGACCTTCTCTGTGGCCAACCCCAACACTCTGCCCCCCCACGTCCCAACAGCCCCACAGTGGAGAGTTTTAAGTCTCGTCTTAAAAACCCATTTTTACTCTCTGGCTTTATCACCACGTGAGTTGTGTGCTCCTCTGTGTCTTTTATTTATTTGATTTTATTTATTTGACTTATTTACTGCTATTTTATTTATTATTTGATTTGATTGGTTTATATATGATATGACCATATTTTAGCAATTTACCATTTTGTTTTCTTCATTTTCTGATCTCTGTGCAGCACTTTGGAAACTGCTTTGTTTGCAAAAAGTGCTATAGAAATAAAGTGGACTTGGATTTGGATTACAGCGCCTTTGAAAGTGTAAGGGTTATTAAAAGTGCACTACGCCATTTGTTTGATGTGGTGTCTCGTGCCTCCGTGGAGATATTACACTGTAGCTGCGTCTAGAAAGCTCCATAGTATTTTTAAAACATTTTTTTAAATTTTTTTTATAAAAACAAATATGGCATTTTAATGCCATACTATCCATAGTATGGCATTAAAATGACCACGGATTATTTTCAATCACTCTGACCCTCTCCTCTGTAGACCTGTAACGATAATCAATTAATCGTACGATAACTTGTAACAAGCTTGATAACTTTTCCGGCCATGATAAATTATATTTGCATGTTTGTTTGTTTTTCTTTCCTCGCTCTCTTTCTCAAAGAGACTGACTGTTAGAAGGCTTCTGTCTCTCTGACTCCTCTCATTTAACAAGCGTAATGTCACTTGAACCAATGTGCGCTGTGTTTTTATCAACACACTGGATGCACGCGTAGCCTGAGTGCAGAAAGCGCCGCTGTCTGTGCGGTGAACATGAAGCCACAACACAAGCGCCGCTGTCAGAGTGACAAAACAGTTCATCGCCGAATGGCAAAACAGGTCAAGAAGCCAAAACAACACTGGTGAGCAGGACACTTTTCAACAGCTACCTGCGTCAGATGCAGCAAGTGCGAAAATAAATGTCTCAAACCGCAGCAGCCGATAAACACAAACCCGAGGGACAGAACAAGCCTAGCCACCGGGAGAGCCCAAAATCCACTGAAACCATACCAGATACTGGACAGGACAGAGGCTCCCTCATAGAGAAACATGAACCTGTGTCACGGGTTAATACAAACATTTAAGACCAAAATGACGAGGCCACAGCAGCAGCCACAGAGAGACGAAACACAATATTCCAATTTAAGTCAGTGACTAAAATCACTTTTAAGGGCAGTTTTGTTACAGAGACTTAATCCATTTTATTTATTGCTTTGGTTGTGTTTGGTTCAACAATAGTTTATTCAAGTACATTTTTGTTAACAAGTTCTTGCTGTGAGCCAGAGTACATTAGGATATTCTTATGTTAACAAGTCTGTTTTATTTAGGCTTGTTGTTTTTGGTTGTCTTACAGTTCCTGTGTTAAATGTTCTTTAGAAAGTAAGGTTTATTGATCTTTGAAAGTGTGTGTTTGCATTTTTTATTCCATGGTCATTATATTAGTTGAAAATGGTCTCAAAATGTCAATATTATCGTTTATCACAATAAATTCTTGGTCAATTAATTGTCCAGCAAAATCTGTTATCGTTACAGGCCTACTCCTCTGCATCGTCTTCTCCATTCGACCCTCTCCTCTTTGCTCTTCCTCTAGGCTCACTCCTCTTCTGCATCCTTTTAGTTTTGGATTTTTTTTTTTTATCATCTTTAAACTATTCTGCAAAAATTGTACTTACATGTGTTTGTTTTTCTTCTTCTTCCAGAATCTTCCAGTAGTTTATTAGTGAACCCGCTGGAGCCCGTAAACGCTGAGAAGTTGCAGGTGAAGATCGCTGACTTGGGCAATGCCTGCTGGGTGGTACGTGGCTTTCGTCGACTTTTACAACAGCTCTTTAATTAAAACCTTTATTGATTTCCCAGCATGCCTCACTGCTGTTTCTTGTCGTAGCATAAGCACTTTACGGAGGACATCCAGACGCGGCAGTATCGGTCTCTGGAGGTGTTGATAGGAGCCGGCTACAGCACACCGGCTGATATCTGGAGCACAGCCTGCATGGTGAGGGGCTGGGACGTAATCGTGTTGTCACCACACCGTAACGTATCAGTCCTGACACTTTTTCCATGGATTTGATTGATTCACTTATTTTGGTCACAGACAATTTATTACAGAAGCCATAATATTCTAAGGTCTGATATTACGCAGAATTAACTTCTGTGATTTTAGTCATGTTATAATGCCTCATCAAACCTCATACCTCCTCAAAAACAGCTGCAGTTGTGTTTTGTTTCATTCACACATGTTTGAGTGACTCTTTTATTTCTTTCTTCTGTCTATATCTTCAAAGCTCAAAATGCTCTGTTCCTCCTTGTGAGGTCATGAAGCAGTATTTTTACTTTTAATCCAGTAAAGATTGGCATTTCAGGGCTGAAATTATCCAAATGATTCTATTGAAGGTGTACAGAGTTTAAAAACACAGTGGGGCACTTCTGGCCGTGTCTCAGTTCTTCCTTCTCTTTGATTCTTCTCCTCAATTCTCAATTTTTCAGCTGTTAATCAAGTGGCATTCTAAAGAAAACCACAGAAGGAAGGAGTAAACATGAGGGAGGCTTCAGGGGAAGACATCACAGAAAAGAATCAAACTTTACTGGTCTCAGTGAGGAATTTAGCTCCTTCTCCTCCCTGTGTCTCCTCTGTGGGCGGGACTTCCTCACCCATTTCTTGCAGAATCGAGGAGAGGAATCAAGGAGAAGGAAGTGAGGAAAGAGAAATGAGACAAGGCCTGTGTCTTCTGTTTGAGAAAATAACTTAGCCCAGGTTTGCAGGGTTTGTGTGTTAAACATGTGAATGAAACTCAACTCCAGGTCTGTTTGTGATAAAGATGCAATAATATTAGCCAGTCTGGCGCCACCTAGTGCCATACTCCAGGTCAGGAATCAGAATACACTAGATGGTTTGCAAAAACCCCGGAAGTGCGAGTTCGGGCACCAGCCAATCAGTGAAGAGTGATATATTCAGTGTTGTCAATGATTCCCGAGATCGAGGATTTAAAGCTGAAATGAAGAGAATGTTTAGTGAATTTTATCAAGGAGAAAGACGTTATTATATCATACTTCTTTCTATGGGATTTGGGAAAAGCTTAATATAGCCCCATTAGCAGCACATTACATACGTCACAACCAAATAGCAGCGATTGGTTAAATTAAAAAAGTACCTGCCTACTGTCGAGCCAACAAATTCTAACACTGCGAGGTCGGACTGATGAATCAGGCTACAATAATATACCACAGACAAAACATTTGCTTAATATTAGGTCCTTTAACGTGCACATCTACATCTGCCATC